ATTTAAGTAGTAAAATAACAGAGCTGAGGAAAGGGGTAAAACTACAGGGGAACCACCCAGAGAAGGACTTTGCATGGCAGAGTGTCAGACACATGGCTTCACTCTGAGGACATGCCTTTCCCTTACAGAGCAGCTAACATTTACATCTGAACCATCCCCTAAAGACCCAAGAGTTAAGGCCGCCACCTGTCCTAGTGACACTAGGACATGGGGGAAGTTTGCAGTAGGAGAGTAATGAAAAGTTAAGTCAATGGGCATGTGCTCTTGAAGTAGACATGGGGAACCCTGTTCCTACTCTTTCTCTCTTTCCTTCTCTATTGTCACAAACTAAGAAGCCCTCCCCAGGTTATGGTGCTCTGTCACACCACAGTTCCAAAGCAAAAAGACAACATGACTAAGGCTTTTCTATAAGACTGTTGGAAAACTGGCCAGCACACGAAGTTTTGTGTTTTAATCTAGAAAGCAAGATTAAAAGCTTCCACTTGCCCTTTTCCTTTAGTTATTTTCTACTGTGGACATCTTGGACTGAGTAGAGGCACACACATGAAATGCCAAAACCAGAGATCTCAAGGCTGGAGAGATGGAATAGTGGATAAGAGCACTTGCTTCAAAAGCACAAGGGCTGGATTTCAGATTGCAGAACATACATTAAAAAGGCAGGGTGTGGCCACATGAGCTTATGATGTAGGCGGTGGAGACAGGAAGAGTGCTGGGGCTTGCTGGTTCAAAGAGAGACCCTACAGAGAGTAATAGAGCAGGACATCCTAAGTTACCTTCTGATCTCTGCATGAGGCATACATGCAGGCATCTATGTACAAATATACATTACACACACACTAATAAATCACATATGTAGATAAATGAATGAACAAAGCCAGAGAACTTTAAGAAATTCCTACTCTTTGCTTGAAGAGTAAAGCTTGAATTAGACACTAGTGTATCTAAGGTTTACTGGACAGATGCATTCCAGATACTTTACATGACAGAATTAAAAGGTTTTGATTAAAATAAAGACTGAACCATATACAACATTATGAGATGCATCAGAAGAAAATGTGTTTGCTTAATAAATAATTTATATACTCCAGCATGAAAATTCTAGAGGAGTTAATTGCCATAACTGCCAACAGTATTCGTCAAAATGTTTATTATATAAATATGAGCAGATGGGCCAGTGAGGTGGCTCCTCAGGAAAGCACTTCCTGCCAAGCCCAATGAATGACCTAAGCTCAATGCTTATAAACCATGTGGTAAAAAAAGAGAATCTATTTCCTCAAGTTGTCCTCTTACCACACATGTACACATGTATATGGTAGCATGTTCATGCATATATTCATACATGCACATGCTCATACACACAGTGTGTTTTAGAGACACACACACACACACACACACACACACACACAGAGTAGCAAATATTGAGCCAACTTAATTCAATAGCTGTGCTACAGCTTCAATCACTGCTAAAAAATATAAATACAGTAATAAGACTTGTTTCCACTCTTGAGACTCTTCTCCTCTTAGTGGGTTTCCTTGTTCAGTCTGGATATGAGGGCTTTTTCCTTGTCTTACTGTATCTTGTTTTGTCCTGTTTGGTTGCCATCTCTTGGAGCCCTGCTGTTTTCTGAAGGGAAATGGAGTGGGAGTGGATCTTGAAGAGAGAGTAGGTGGAAAGAAGCAGGAGTAGACGAGGGAAGAGAAACTGTAGTTGGGATGTAAGGTAACGTGATGTGATGTGATGCAGGAGAAACTATACTTGCTTCTCAAACAGAGAACTGCTGTTGTTTACTATTAATCCATCACTCATTGATCCTTTAAGTCACTGATTCCTGTTATTATAATGTCCAATATTAAGAGTAGACATATCTCATCCTCACCTCATCATTGCCTTTATAGACATGCTAACATGGATGGTAAAAGTCTATGAGGCTTCAAATCTACACGAGGAACTACAAGCAACAAAGGAATGCTGAGAAAGAGAGAGGCAGTCTTCTGATTATCCAATAACAAATGGCCAATCCTGAAAACATTCATATAAGTAACATTATATATACTAAGCAGGCTTTACTTAGGGATATATGTATACACATACTACACACACACACACACACACACACACACACACAGAGAGAGAGAGAGAGAGAGAGAGGTACATATAAGTAAATGTATGTAAAACAATTAATGAAAAATGAGGTCATGTATTTGAAAGATAACAAGGAGTGGTATATGGGAAGTTTGGAGGGAGGAGGGGGAAATGATATAATTGTCTACAATTTAAAAAAAAAATTGAAATATCTATGCTACATAAGAAAAATACTATAATGTAATTTGAATCAGGATGGCCCCAATAAACTCATATATTTAAATACCTGATCCTTAGTTGGTAGAACTTATTGGGAAGGATTAGGGAGGTTCAGTCTTGTTGAAAAAAGTATTGTCAATGGAGATGGCCTTTGAGGTTGCAAAGATTGGTCTGTCTCTCTCTCTCTCTCTCTCTCTCTCTCTCTCTCTCTCTCTCTCTCTGCCTGCCACTTGTTGTATCAAGATATGAGCTTTCAGCTATTACTCCCAATGCCATGTCTGCCTTCCTACTACCAGGTTGCTCTAACCCTCTGGAACTATAAGCTCCAAATAAACTCTTTTATAAATTGTTTTGGTCATGGTGTCTTATCATAGCAATAGAACAGTAACTAAGTCATATAGAAAATACCATTATGAGTAAAAAAGTCTTGAAAGCATTTACTTTAGAATCAAGAACAACACAAGTGCTTTCTAGTGTTAATAACATTACTATGTCTCTTGCCAGATTGTTAACAAATGAAAAAGTAAAAGCAAGGTATCATTATTGAATAAATTAGATCGAATAAGTGATATGTATTAGTGACAGGAATTTCCAAGCAGAAAAATCACAGTCAGCAAACTGCTAAAATTTAAAATGTTTAGAAGACAACTGAATAAAGACAAATAAGCAAAAGTATGTTACATGTGTTTACTTTCTAACAAAATGTTATGAAATACAATGTAAACATATGGTAATTACAAAAATATGAAGTACTAAAAGTATGGCTGATTAAAGATATAAAGCATCTTTTAGAAAAAGCAAGTTTAAACAATGTAGAATGATAGAAAAAAACATAAAGAAAGTAATTAATGACTCAATCTTAAACCTTAGGAGTTCTCTTATTCAGCCTAATTCACTCCCCACATGATCCTCTGCAGAACAGCTTTGCATTCAAAGTGGTGTCATTTTTCTTCAATTGTTATCCCCATCTTTGTTCAGTATTAGTTTCTTTATGTTAAAGGCATGATTGAAAAAAAAAATTAACCAAAAGGGAACTTGTTGCTTACCAGGTACTTTCTATGGTATGAGCCTGGATCAGGAATCACCACTCCTAATAACACCAGTGAAGAAGACAATGACTTCACTCCCACCAAACTTTGAGCAGAGAAATGACATAAATGAGCACAGCCAACCATCCTAGACCAGTAGAGGGTTAGTGCCCTCCCACAGTCAAGCATCAACTAATCAGAATTACTCTAATATGCATGCCGGGAATTGAACAATAGAAAATCAGACAAAAAGGAGGGCAGTTACCAAATAAAAACCACTGTGATGCACTGCATTATCTCAGGAGGTTCTTCTGTTTTAGCCCTACCCACTGCTGCCTTGTAGTTTACTCAGTAAATCTCTTTTTCTACTATCATAGGTCTTGGATGAGTTATATTACCTTCAGCCTGTGCCCTTGCAACATTTAACATTCAATCAAACCAGCACGTCTTTCATTTTTTCTTGTACCATCCTATCTGAATGTAAGCTCTGTTATGAGACCACATTTTTCTACCACTACATTCAGCCCTCTGTGGTCACAACATTTAGAGCACAGCCCACTGCCTCAGTTTCCCTGTATTCACAAAGGAATTGAAACAGAAATTGGGAAAGGAAAATGGACTTACTTACAGTTTGGGGGGAAAATATGAGTACAAAAACCCAGCTTCTGTCACCATGCCTCTGATAGTCTTACAATTCATGGGCAAGCATGACACAGAACCCCAAAGCTATGAGAAGTTGATAACAAGGCAAAGTTTCTCCTTTGTTGGGGAGAGGACTCCTTAGCTCCCAGGTTGCTTTCCCTGTGTCCAAGTTCAGTACACAGGGTCTGTTATATTTTTACTTCCACTGTTTCCCTTTTGCAATGAGAGAATTTAAAGAATCTGTAGATTAAATGAATAATCTTAGAAAAAGTGAAATGCTTGACCTGTATTCCTATTATCCAAGGAATTTTTTTCTAATACTGTAAATTATCATAAAAATTTACAATGTGAATGACCCTATCCACAAATGCACATATCACCAAAATTTCAAGTAAAGTAATATAATTTGAGAATTATTATTCTTAATCATAATATCTCTGTTTTCCTTTTTAAATGACTTCTCTATTATTTCCTTTTATGGAAAAGTAAAAGCGCAGCCATTCAATTTATTCAAATGTTAAAACTTTCTCTTCACAATAAGACAAGCTGAGGAAATTATCATTTGGAAAACTTCTTGAAAATAACATACCTAAATAAAAAAGATTTAGATTGCCACTCTTTCAGAAGACAATAGAAAACTCAAAAATTAAATTCTAATCTGACAGCTACCTCTCCTTAACAAGCACTAATTAAATTGCAGGGGAGAGAGAAGAGGGCTCTTAACAATAAAATTGCATTATTTTCCGATTCATAAGAGAGGTAAGATGTGTCTGAAGAAATGAAATGCTTGATTATACAATGCTGCTCAGGCACACACGTGATTGCTAAGTAGTACCTTTCTTAACATACTTTATAATTCACACAATTCTCAAGAAGTAGAAACCTCTCTCCTCGAAATCCACTGCAAATTTATTATCCAAATGTAACTTGTTCAGTAGTACACAATGGCTTTTCTAAAATGACAACTTGAGACTGGAAACACCCACAAATGCTCTTGATGAATCACGGTTGAAGCCAGCGCCTCCAACCGCATTAGCATCCTTCAAATAGTAATTATGGCTTCTCAGTACACTGTAGGTGCAGAAAGCCAATTACTTAAACAGCACCATAGCAGGAAATGAAGACATCCCCCTTGAATCTTCTTCACAGGCAAACACAGAAAATATGCACAGGGATAAGGAGAATTCTTTCCTTTCTAAGGCTTCCAGTATTCCAGTTTTAAAAGGCTTTAAGAGGAATCAGCTTCTACCTAGACCCCAGGTTCTCTAACTCCAATCCAATCCTCTCTGTAATCCACAATGAGGTAGATCACCTTGAGGCTGTAGCTCATAGTGCCGTGTGAAGGAATTTCCAATTATATTTACCTTACTATCATTACATTCACTGTTTTCTGAAAGAGACTGAATACACAAATAGAGAAACATATGTAAATAAGCACACATTTAAAATTTGCAGGCACTGGGTAAAAGATATTTTGGTGATAGAGTGCATGTGACAGATCTGGATGTGTTGACCAAAGACACATACACACACTGAATCCTTAGTCTCCACTGTAGAAAATCAGTAGAACAAAGAGGAGCAGTTACATCATTGAAGATAGGGCAAAAAGTAAACTGTGAAATGCCCATCTCTTCCTTGTTCTACTTCTCTGTCACCTGTGGCAAGCAGCATGCTGTGCCACATGTTACCACCGTGATGTAATGTCTCACTAGAAGCACTAAAATAACAAGGCCAATTGACCTCTGACTGAAAGCTCTAAAACTGTGACCGCCCCAAACAAACCTTTCTTTCTCATTCCTTTGTTATCTCAGGTATTTTCTCATAGTGATAGGAAACCAATGTAGCATGTGACCCCCAAAAGAATTTGGTGATTACCATGGTATCTTATACGTTAAGTAAGAATATTCCCCCATCTTTCTTCAGACATTCATCACGTCTATTTGAGTCACCATCAGAGCTAATGTTCCATGAGAAACGACTTCTCCTCTTTAATTAAAAATAGTTGTTAAAATTATAGCACACTTTAAAATGGAGCTAGCCCATAGGACACTCCACAAAGTGGTTCTCAACCTTCCTAACGCTGCGACCCTTTATCACAATTCCTTATGTTGTGGTGACCTCAACCATAAAATTATTTTCATTGCTACTTCACAAGTGTGATTTTGCTAGTTTTCTGAATCCTAATGTAGCTATCTGACATGCAGGGTTGACCCAGAGGTTGAGAACTTCAGCTCTACAGGGAGCAGTGCTCTACTCTGAACTACCCAATGTGGTAGCAATAGCCATCTAGGACTATGGCAATACAGACAGTGAAAGTGATCTAAATTTTGTCTTTCATTTTAATTTACTCAAATTTTATGTAAATGGCACCATATTGGCTAATACAGCTCTAGAAGGTCATAACCACCTATATTCAATAGTTTATATGTTCATGTCTGTAAGATGCCCTCCCAACAGCATCTTTAAAGAGCATTGCTTTTGTTTGCTTCCTAAAAAGCCTCTGATATTATCAGGTATCTCAATTGCTTTAGCTTGTATGATGGTACAATATTTTGAAAGAGACATCAGTCTAAATCAAAATCTAGTAAGGATATTTTCAGATATGTATAGCAGTCTATATTCAAACACTTGAATTATGAGGTCATTCACAGAAATTGTTACCTATAGTGCTATATTCTTTATGATTTATTAAAGCTTGCATGAGGTTTCAGAAAGCAAAGTCAGTCACAAGCCTTAGAAGCCAAGCACACACCTTTAATCTTTGCAGCTAGAAGCTAGGAGGTGGTGGTATACTAATCTTAGGACTCAGGATTAAGAGGTAGATGGATCTCTGTGAGTTCAAGGCCACCCAGATCTATGCAAGATTGATCTAGTCCTTTAGAGAAACAGCTCACACAAAGATGACCTTAGCACCTGTGATCACACACCTTTAATCTCAGCATTAGAGAGGTATATAAGACAGGAACAAGGTTTCAGTATCAGGCATTCATTCTCCAGCAATGTTGAGAAAAGGAATGCCCCAGCCCTCTTAGAGATAAAACTCTCTGGTATCTTGGCTGCTTTGCTTCTCTGATCTTCAGCTTGAACCCCAATATCTGTCTCTGAGTCTTTTTATTTATTCATGTTACACTTACCTCAATGTTTACCACTGGAGCAGTATCCTAGAGATCAGGGTCTTAAAGGAGTTGGATGTAAAGCAGGTAGCTGAGGAAATAGTTTGTTCACCAAAGAGCTTGATAGAAAAAAAATCAGGCATTGTGGGAACTTTTGTGATGCCGTCATTGGGTTAGTATATTCCTGGAGCTCAAAAGCCAGCCAACCTAACCAAATTAGGGAGCCTGGGGGTCCAGTGAGAGAACCTCTTTAACAATCCAGGTAGATGGCTTCTGAGAAATGAAATGTTAAGTTTATCACTGATCTCACTTGCACTCACATGTGAATACAGACACACACACACACACACACACACACACACACACACATATACACGAGTTGACTATAAAACAAAACTCAGATATATTTCATAAGCAGCATCACATATCATTAGGGGAAATGTTATTAGGCCATATTCTACTTTGGCAAATCTGGATGGTCATCTAAAAATAGATATAGATAATTGATAGATGAATTGATAGACAGCTAAACATGTAGACAGATACTTGATCAAAACCTACAAATTTTAGGGAGAAGTAATTATGAGTAGCTTAAGTATTCAATCATAAAAAGTAACCTTAACTATGGAATCAGTGTGGTAATACCTCAGGAGGATGGGAATCCAACTATCTCAAGATCTACTCTTGGGGTACAGACATTTGTTGGATTCTAAAAACATAAAAGGCTCTCCTTTGGAAAATAATTTGTTATTAATAATAGATAAATCTTTCAGAACGTTCCTTGTTCCAGTTATTATCAAACATGAGTTAATGCAATTGAACCAATAGAGTAGGTACTACTGTTATCTCTATTCCACAAATTAAGAAACTGATAAGTTAGTGACATTGTCTAAGTGCTCACATTCACTTCAATAAATTTATTTTACATAATTACAGAAAGTATAAATAGAAGGTTCTTCACAGATGCATTGTTTACAAATGAGAAAAAAACAACATTTAGCAGTAAGAGATAAGGTTTAATAAATTCTTCAACCAGGAAATGGTGGCACACACCTTTAATCCCAGCACTTGGGAGGGAGAGGCAGGTGGATCTAAGTGAGTTAGAGGCCAGCCTGGTCTACAAAACGAGTTCCAGGATAGTCAGGACTGTTACACCAATTAAATAAATAAATAAATTTCTTGCATATCCACACAACTATATCCTTATGTAGTTACAAAAGGCCAACTGATATGAGGATTAATTATTAACTCGTAACTACTAATCTATGTATTTCTACATGGCCTTATCTTACCAGAGAACGCCTGGTGTGTCCTACCTTCCCAGCCTCTACATGGCATCTCTTCCTGGTGGCCTGTCCCCACCTCCCCTCCCCAGAATTCTTTTTGTCTCATAGCCTCATCTATATTTCCTGTCTGGCTATTGAACAATCAGTGTTTTACTCATCAGCCAATAAGAGAAACATATATATAGAAGAACATTCCCCATCACCCCCTTATTGGATTGACTTATCCAGCCTTGATTTGAGGGCCTTCCCATTGGCTTACTGTATCTCATTTTGACCTGTTTGGCTGTAGTCAAAAGAGGAAATGGAGGGAGAGTGGATCTGAAGGAGAGGGGAGGTGATGGGGGAGGTATGAGGCGTGGAGAGAGGAGAAACTGTGGTTGGAATGTATTATGTGATAGAAGAATCTATTTTCAATACAAATAAGAAGGTAAAACTCTTTATATTGTTATGTGCATAGCAAAGTAATATCAAAAGGTGTATTTGTTGCATGTCAAAAGGAAGAAAATCTACAGAAATGACTAACTCGACTGCTCATAACATGTTCAGTGATAGTGAGAAGACAGCATGTGGGGTGGGGAAGGAAAGTAGCCACTAAATGCATTTTAATATTAATTAATTTTGAGACACAAAATATATTATCTAGTCAAATAAGTCATTTTAAAACATGCTAATTACTTACAATAGATATCAAGAATGTATTTTAAGAGAAAAATACAATATGGTAGGTTCTAATGTTATGTAAATGAGTAGCTGTGTTTGGCAGTTATGTTTGCATTTTAGGAGTAATTTTTCACTAAAATGAAGGGCTAATTATTGACTAATATTGGCTGATTTCATGACTGTCACAAGCTGGGAAAGTTTCATTTTAAAGATACACCCCACAAGTATTTCTGAATAACAAAGGGAAAATGAGTGATCTACACAGAAGCCTTGTAAACACCTTCACCAATGACTGAAGAGGGCATCAGCATCAATAAGTCACAGAAAGACCACACCTTGCCTAATAGGAATCAATGAGAAAGTCCCAGAATCACGTGAGTGATAGCTCAGGTGCTAATAGCTATAGTATAATCCCAAAGAAATATCCAAAATGTTAATACTGGAGGCTTCCTCAAAACAACTGCCCATGGTCTTTGAAGGTATGATGATCATGAAGGGTAAGGGAAGTCAGAATTATTCCAGAAAGATGAGGCCTCTACTTTGCTGCTGAGAGCAGGGTAGAACCATGGGAAACTTTTCATGGCATCTGAACATTAGATGCTGGGAATGGATCAGTGAGAACCTACTGATATTGACAGGTATCTCACGGCTATGGAGGAGAATGGCAGTGGCCATAACACACGATTATTCTGGAGTCATGACTATAAGGTTTGCAGCTTACTCTTCACTGGTTCAAGGGGCAAATCAAAGAACTAGAACTATACTTAGACATGTTTTGATATCTGTCACTGTGAGATACAAAATTGAAATAAAGGCTTCCATCTTCTTGGCTTAACACAATGTAGAAGTTCTCCACTGGACCCAGGCAAACTCCAAGAAGGGAGGGATATGCTGTTTCCTTTTATTCCTCCTTCCACAGCCACTAGTCTTCTGTTTATCCTCTAGCTTCAGATAATTTAGCCAAGCCCCTGAAAAATGCTGAGCCTATCCCCTTCTGAGAGACATGGATCCTTTTTTAAAAATATATATATATATATTGAATGCTACGCTCCAGAATTTGAGCCAAATGTCTCTTACCATTAACTTATTTCTCAAAGCTGCTTATTGAGACCACCCCAACACATCCTTTTGTCACCACTATAGAGCTCCCTATCACATCATCTTGTTTTATTTTTTTTTCATAGCACAAATGTCTATCCAAAATCATCACAGTCAGTTAGTATCCTGTTCTACTTGTTTTCAAGCTCTTTCTGGTAGTTTATAAATTCCTTAGGAACAGAGATGTTCCCAATCTTATTTCCTGTAGCTTATCTTTCACCTGTTGCCTGGACATTAAAAGAACTAAAAACTACTGATGTACCCTATTTGTTTTTAAATATATGTATTAGTAACTATATCGGTTGACTTTCTAGAACTCATTTTCTCATATATAAAATGGGATTTGAGGCTAGAGAGATGTCTCTGCAGTTAGCAGCACTTGCTACTCTTGCAGATGACTGGAGTTCAGTTCCCAGCACCAATATTAGGAAAGTCAAAATCATCTGTAACTCCAGTTCCAGGGGATCCAACTCCCTCTTCTGGTCTCTGAAGGCACACACTTTCATGTACACAGAGTGGCACATAGACACTCTCATAAACACATAATTTTTAAAACTAGAGTAATTGTTAAAGATTTAATTGTGTGGATTTTATTACCATCTACCTACCACATAGGGTCATCCATTGGATGATGGAAGTGAATGATTAACACAGTGCTTGGCATACAATATGCAGCTATAAAATATTGAACATGGCAAAATAAGTAAAGTACCAGTTTGGGGCTAGAATATGCTCTGTATTATTTTATAGACATAAAAACTTGTTCTATTTTTATTGTATGTGTAATGGGATAAGTACATACATGTGTACCACATAAATGCCTGGTTCCCATGAAGGCCAGATGAGAATTTCAGATCCACTAGAACTGGGGTTACAGACAGTTGTAAGATGCTAAGTGGGTGTGGGGAACTGAACCAGGGTCTTCTACACTCTAGATGGCTGAGCAAACTCTTCAGCCCACAAGTGTGGAGTTGAAAACCTGAATGGTAAAGTGTTCACACATTGTCCCCAGTTGACTTTCCAGTTAACAAAAGATTCAGTAGAAACAAAAGCTTACTACCTCAAACCTGAAGATTCATAACAAATCAAAATGCACTTACTATAAAAGTAACTATCTAGAGAACAAAGGAAAGCTGCCAGCAGTTTTTCTTCCTCTGAGGTAAGCTCTCAAGGTCCATCTGACCTTGAACTTCGGTGTTTCCTGTACTAGCCTCGCCAGAGCTGTCTACTGGCATACACTACCATGCTGAATTTGGCTTCATTTAAAAAAAAATCAATAGTAATAAATAACAAAGCTCTTCACACTTTAAAAGATGTGCTTAGCATAT